TGTTGTTGCTACTAATGGCTGCATCATCCTGCAGCCTCTCCCCTCCCTTCACCATCCTGCTCCCCCAGGGATGGGTCACCTCCAAATACCATCACAATGGCTGGCCTCAAACCGTCCCCTTGTGGACCTATGTGAGACTTTGCTCTCTGCAATATATGATATATACACACAGCCAGGAGCAGTACTCCTGGGTCATAAGTGTATTTAACTTGACTGTACTCCTGTTGCATTTATTCCTAAGTGCTTGCTAAGGAAAGGATTTTTAGCACCCAAGAAAGCGCAGGTTCAGGGTTGAGTGGAGGGGTGTACATCAATTGCATTACTCTGTTAGTGTCATCCCATTTAGCAAGTAAAAATACAGGACACGTGGTTAAATTTCAGTTTCAGATAACTCGTGTGAAATATACTAAAAGAGTGCTGGAGACTTTTTTTTTAATCTGAAATTCAAATTTAACTGGGCATCCTGTATTTTATCCGGCAACCCTACCACCAACTGAATACTTAAATTCAAGGTTTTGTGACTCTTCTCATCATAGAATTACTGTTACATGTCGAAATTGGGGGAACTCTTTACAAAAGAGAAAGGGAAAAAGGGGAAAAAAATTGAAGAAACTCCATAAATGTTTGGCTAGAAGTAATGAAATATATTTAAAGTCTGTACAACAAAATTACAATAAACATTTATTAAGTTGTAATTTTCACAATATTGGTAATTCTGTTCTGAGATCTACAAATATCTCTACATAACACCAAAGCCAGTGATTTAATAAATAAGAGGAATGTATATATTGCTTTGCAAAAAAAAACAAAAAACAAAATAAGCCTGATACATTTATGTCTATATAAGATATTTGTAGAATCAGCTTCCTAAGGCTCATGGAACTAAAGTGTACACACACACCATACACACACACACACACACACCATTATATTCAAATCAAATCAATTTATATTAAGTGTCAAAGTAAATGCTATACAAAATTTATAACCAGATACACAAAGTATGAATTGAATCATGAATACACTGTCGAGAATGGGTACCATACCTCACAAATATGATTTCCAGGTAAGAAGAGGGAAATAATTGCTTTGCTGGATTTTAAGTGTGCGCTAATAATCACCATCACCATCACAAGAAATCAATTGAATTACATGGTATTCAGAGATTTAACACACATGCGGATATTCAGTTGACACTACAGTAAAACCTTTAAATCTGCAAAGAGACGTTAGGACGTATGGTCATAATACCATTAGCTGCCACAGGTTTTCAGCAGATGATGCAAATGACAATCGACTTTTTTATGCCACCACAAGAGAAAAACTAGTACTGGTGCATCTCCTACATATCGAGGAAGAGCAAAACACAGAATTCGATATGCTGAATAAAGTTTGTTTATACCAGACACTATACATGATATTGATGGTCATCCAATACACATTTAAGGGTACTGCATTAGATCCTGCAAAATATATATAATTCTATTATTCACAATTGAGGAGCAAAAGTCCAGCTATTCACATGGCCATAAACAAAATTTTTGCAGGTGATACAGCATTAAAAAAAGAAAAAGTTGGGAGTGGGGCGGTTGACACCTTAGCAGCCTTAGGAATTTCTTTTAACACCAGTTGGTCTAAAACTACCCACTGGTTTCTTTAGGAAAGGAAAAAAAAAAAACAAAACACCAGTTAGATGGCAAGAGCTGGCTTTTTGGTTAAGTCAGCCAATTCGAAACCCATCAGGGAGAAGTTATCATGTGTCAACCAGTAAGGCAGATGTCATTTATCAAAAACATCTTAGAAAGCAGCAGGGATTACGGAAATGAAGCAATTCAGGACTCCCACTAGTGACAAGTTGTATTAACAATGTCTAGGTTCCGCATTGGCCATCTGACACCTGTGATTCTTAACCACTCCGCATGTCTGCCGAATCCCAGGGCCAGATGGGCAACCGGAGGTGTTTGTATCTTCCCTGCTAGGCAGCCCTTTAGGCGTGCGACAGCCGCATTATAATCTTCCCAACTACCGACCCACCCTGCATGTTCTTACTGAGTACCCAATAGCGGATGGCCCCACTTGGTTACTTCCCACCGCCAGGGTCCTAACGACATTGTCCCAGTTCCCTGATGTCTCTGCTTCCTGACCGCTGTGTGAGACGGGCTTGGCGTGGCCGGCGTGGCCTGCTGTGCTCGCATCAAACGCCTTTCCATTGCGTTCACCTCCAGTTTATGAACACAACCCCGGCGCAAGGGCCTGGTTTCAAGGAATTCTGCTGCTGTGCTGTTACCAGAAATGACGTGGGGGCTAAAACCTGAAGGAAAAGGAACCACAAGGCAGGTAGTGCGGACTGGCGTCGGAGTCTGCTCAGGGGAGGCTCACGCGCCATCAAAGCGTCTTTGTTGAGGAAGAGGTCCCTGAACATCAAACCTAACCCATCCACACAAACCCAGCACTGGGACACGGTTGGTCCTTTTTCTTTTCTAGATGATTTTCTGTTCTCAGTCAAGTATTTATTGTGATACTGAAGCACTGGGAAATTAACACTGATTAAATTTAAGGTACTAAAAACAACTGAGTCTTAATTATAACAGATCCACAGTTTTTGTGAGAATGTTTTTATATCACATTCCGTGAAGTGCGGCACTAATACACTCTACAACCCTGAAGATATGAAAGTTTTCTCTTCAAGGTATGAGATATGGTACAAAAATACATTTGGTACATATGGTACACAAAAGAGAAAAAAGAAAGCTATGAGGGGGGCGTGCTGAATACCCTACAAGCTTCCATGGAAAGGAGAAAGAAAAGTCCCAAACCAAAGTGAAATTTATGGATTAAAAAAACAAGACGTTTTCAAACCTGGCATCTAGGATTTCTATCAGAATTTCAAATAATGTTCTGCCCCAAAGTGACACTCAGTAACTCACCGTAGCTTCTTTCATTAAAAATGAAGACATCTTCCACTTGAGCGTTATCAAACTACAAAACTGGCTTCAGAGCCTACACTTAGCTAAACTGGAAAAAAAAAAAGGTGCCTATTTTTTTGACAGCAATCTTCAGTGGATGTCTAAGGTCCAAATCCACCAGCACCTAGATTACACGTGCCTCCCTCCGTTTACTGCAAGTTAAAATGATCGTCCTATGTAGATCTCAATAGAACACAGTGCCCTTCGTGTTTCAGGGATGAGGGTGCCAGGAGGAATGGAGTGGACACTAGACGCAGCCCAGGGACAGTTTAAGACAACACTCGGGCATCCTACAATGACCACAAACAACGGGGGAGCCAATGCAAGGGCCACAATCATGGACTTTGTGCACAGGACGCCACTCCCCCCCACCCCGGCCAACAAAAGCAAAGCTGTTTTCGTACCTGAACATGGGACAGCAGCCAAATGCACAAAAGGAAAGAGGACAATGATGACCTCCCCAAGGTATTTATACCCTGCACTAAAATAGATTCATCTGCAAGCATCGAAATGACAAAACTGGACTGGTTTCGATCCAGAAATCATGTGTTCCAAATGCCCATGGACAAAGGTCTGCTCAAGTTAAATCCTAGGGAATGTGTTTCAGGAAGTGAACCGAATCCAGGAGAGTTTGGTCCCATTATGTGCACCTGAAGAAGTTTCATAAATGTCCTCAGAAACATCTGTATCTGTTCTCCAGACACTTGCAACCAAAAATAAACTTCACGGAAACTCCGCGTCAGACTTGGTGAACAGCTAAGTCTTCCCCAAAGTGAGACTCGGACCATAAGGTCTGGTTCTAGCAAATCTGACTGGGGTCTCTAGAGACAGCCTCAGTCCCCAGCAGGCTTCAAAGCTACACCCTGCAAGCGGTGGGCTTCCCTTCGTAACAGGCTCCTAGTAAAGGGGTGTTTCCACCAGCCCCGACCCAAGCCCACCCTTTGTGTACCACCCTCTGCCCCCAGAAACCACCAAAAATGAGGACGCAACAGATTTCAGACAAAAAGCACCTAACACATGTGTTGTAGAAACTTCAGGGAAAACAATTCACATCTTTTCCAAGGCTTGTGTATTGCTGCTGCTTGTTGCTGAGAATGCATCATAAGCAGCAACAGACTTGAAAATGTTATTAGCTGCTGTTTGTTTTCCTTCAAGGTCCTGAGTCCACCAGAAACAAAATGAAACAAAGACAAAAACCACCACGGGTAGAGCTTTTGAATCTAGGCCCACCCAGCAGACAGCGACATTGGGACATGAAATAGATTTTTTTTTTTTTTTTGAAACAGAGTCTCACTGTGTTGCCCTGGCTAGAGTGCTGTGGCGTCAGCCTAGCTCACAGCAACCTCAAACTCCCGGGTTCAAGCGATCCTCCTGCCTCAGCCTCCCAAGTAGCTGGGACTACAGGCATGCGCCACCATGCCTGGCTAATTTTTTCTATATATATTTTAGTTGTCCAATTAATTTCTTTCTATTTTTTTAGTAGAGACAGGGTCTCGCTCTTGCTCAGGCTGGTTTCAAACTCCTGAGCTCAAACAATCCGCCCGCCTCGGCCTCCCAGAGAGCTAGGATTACAGGCGTGAGCCACCGTGCCAGCCATGAAATAGATTCTTGAGTGATCTTCAGTGCTTACTGGGGTAGACATCTCTTTGCCCTTTCTTGCATTTTCCTTTTCAAAATGTTGCTGTTAAAATACATCAAAGTACAGAGCAAGGAAAAAAATCTCAGGCCTTCTAGAAGTAATGATTTCTCCATTTAGAGATGTGGCTGACGGGGGCTTGGCGGGGTCACTAGGGTACAAAAGAGGTTGGGTTTCATCTCTAGCCCAACTGTCTACACTGAGAAGTGACAACATTCATTAAGTCAACATCAACCAAAAATAACATAGAATAAAGCTCACAGTTTTGGGACACGAAAATAACTTACGCACACAGACGTCATCCACCAATTCCTAAGCTGCAAAAACAAACGCTTGCATTTAAGCTTTTCTAAAATGTCAAATTAGCATATTCTCCCCCTCCATGTAAAGTTTTAATAAACTTGACTCAATCTGCCTTTATTAAAAAACCTTACAAAAGATGTATTTCAATGCTTGAAAAAATTAACTTTATGCTCTATGCACAGATAAATTTTCTCTCACTGTACAGCTAAATATGGTTATATCCTTTGTTTAAAAAATATTTTTTTCACTAATGACACTCCGTGCGTCGTTCTGCACGAACGATCTTTTTCATTCTTGGAACGTCCGTCTTAAGAGCTGACGGGCGGCTGGAAACACCCTCACAAAGCGCCACTTTCTTGCTCAGTCACGTTTATTAAGACCGTTTGGGGTTTGGTGGTTTGGGTTTGTGTTTCCTCCTCCTCTTCTGTTTTCCGACAGAGCTCGCTGGTGGAGGTGGCGCCCGCCGGCCGGCCGCCAGTCACTTGTCCTTGGAGCGGTCCAGGCTCTCGAGCACCCTGTTGAGGCGGATGTTGAGCAGTCTGACCTGGTTCTCCAGGTGTTCCAGCTTCTCCTCCACGCTGGGGTTGCCGGGGCTGCTGCGCCAGTAGAAGCCCATGGGCCCCGTCATGAAGTAGACGGCCACCACGAAGCACAGGGGCAGCACGGCGTTCTCCGGCTCGCCCTCGTACTTGTGCAGGATGTACACGCAGGACATGGAAAACAGGATGACCCGCACGATCCAGAAGAAGCGGCCGAACACCACGTGCAGGACGCTGAAGGTGAAGCCCAGAGTCAGAGACAAGAACCAGTAGGCCAGGAGGACGACGCCAACCAGCAGGAGGGCGCGGGCCGGGCTGCTGGCCACCGAGGCTGGGCTGAAATACTGGGACAGGTTGGACACTGCAGAACAGAAAAGAGCAACAGGGCTGGTTACGCGGGAGTCGGGGGGCTCTCGACAAGGGGGAGTTGGGGAGCTCAGCTCACTTGCTGGGCTCACAAGGCCTTTGCAACAACCCAAGGAACTAAAGTAAGTTACTCCCTTAATATGCACACTAAGCTCTAAGAGAAGACACAGGGCACCCCGTCAAGACAGTCTGCCACCTCGTGAGTTTAAAGCACCTCTCACAGTGGCGCAGAGCCTGCAAACTGTCCTTCAATTTCCATAGTAACGAATGCCCAATTTCAGGCTGCGTACACAGCTACCTAGGATAAAGGCATTTCCCTGCCTCCCTTGCAGCTACATAACTAAGCTCTGGCCAAGGAGAGGTAATTTGCAGTAACCTCAGGGGGTTATCCCTACAAGCAGTAAGAATGTGCCCTTTACCTCCTCTTCTGCCTGCTGGAATGTGGATGCAATGACCAAAGCTGGAGCAGCCATGTTGGGCCATGAGGACAGCAAAGACTCTCATGGGACAGCATTAAACGGAAGGTGCTTCAGCCCAGAATACAACATCCATCGGAACCATCATACTCGCCTACCTACCTCCCTGTGAACTTTCACATAAGTTGGAAATAATAAGCACTCATCTGGTTTAAGCCGTTGTTATTGGATCCCTGCCACAGCCAAACCTAATCCTAACTGCTATGCACATGGTGTGCTATCTAAAGCAGGGAGTGAGATGGAGGAGTAGCATCTTCTGTGTGCCCAGCTGAAGGAAATTTCAAACAGCAAAGCTGAAAGGACAGCGAATATTCCTATCAAAACCACCTAAGTTTAACAATGACTAAATTTGCCATATTTTGCTTTGTCTCTTATTTACATATTTTTTTTTTTTTGGTTTGGACCACTGGAAAGACACACATCATATTTCATCATGCACCTTGTAAGAATAAAGACATATTCACCTCAAAACCATGTGACTATCATCGCACCTAAGAGTATCAACAATTCCAGGCTATCACTGCAATTTCCCAGCTATCTACGAATATAGCTGTTTCCTTCGCAGCTCAACCAGGACCCGGTGAGAGTCCATGTACTGCGTGTGCCCTGGCTTTAGTCTCCTTTAATCGACAAACTTCCATGACACTGACATTTTGAAGTCTAGTTTTCCCAGACTAGTTTTCTTACAGAAGGTCCCCCATTCTGGAATTGTTTCCTCATGATACTGTTCAACAAGTTCAGGGAGAGTTGTATCCCAAGTGCATTTAATTTATACAAGCAGTTCTCCAACGTGAGTGTGCACTGGAATCTTTTGGAGGATTTGGGAAAACGGGTCACTGGGTCCCACCCCCAGGATGTCTGAGCAGATCCTGGGCGGGCCCAAGAATCTGCATCTCTTACAAGTTGGTGCGTGACGCTGCCGCTGCCAACATGAGGGTCACACTCCGAGATCCGCTGGCGCAGGCACGGTTAACTCTACGCGTCAGGGCAGAGAGAGGGGAGTGGGGTAAAATATAATGCGAGGACTTAGACCCAGAGCAAGGCTGAGACAGGAGAACTTGAACCTGGGACTCGAGTCTCCAAATGCATCTACAGCGTGAGCATTTCAAAGCCCCCACGATGACCAGATCGTCTTGCACAGCTGGCCACCGTGTCTGGGGCCCAGCCTCGTAAATAAATAGTGGCCTTCCTCAGGACTGAAGACACGGGGTCACCGGGACTCCCAAAACCCAGGGTGCCGGTCTCCTACACGGTGCCCTCCTTTCTAAGGCGTCAAGAGCATTTTGACTAAACGTGATCTTGACTTTGGAGTTGACTTTCACACTTAACCCTGGCAGACGGGAGACTAAACCAGCGTCTCCCAAACCTTTTGGTCTCAGGATCCTGTTTATATTCTTCAATAGTATTGAAGACCCCCTAGAGCTTTTGTTTATGTGGGTGCTACCTATTGATGTTTGCCATAGAAGAAACTAATTTTTAATCAGTTAATAATTTTTAAACATTGCTACTATTAATTCATTTTCAAATAACAATGAACCCATCATAGGTACTATGGTCTGAATGTGCCCCCAAAACTCATACATTGAAATTCTTACCAATGAAGTGATGGTGTTAAGAGGCTGAGCCTTTGGGAGGTGATTAGTTCATGAGGGTGGCACCCTCAGGAATGGGATCAGTGCCCTTATGGAAGAGGCCCTAGGGAGCTGCCTTGTCCCTGTCGCTGTCAGGACACAGCAAGAAGCTTCATCTATGAGGAAGGGACTCTCACAGACACTGAATCTTCCAGTGCCTTGATCTTGGACTTCGCAGCCGCAAGTCTGGGATCAGCGTGTCCATAGGGTTGGTTCCTTCCAAGGCTGTGAAGTGGGGACTCTGTTCCAGGCCTCCTTGGCTTCTGGTGGCTGCTGGCAATCCTTGGTGTCCCTTGGCTTGTAGAGTCATCACTCCGAACTCTGCCTGTCTTCTCATGGCCTTCTCCCCGTGTGTGCGCGTGTGTGAGTGTCCAAATGTCCCCTTCTTATAAGAGCACCAGTCATTGGATTTGAGACCCACCTACTCCAGTGCGACCTCCTCTTAATTAGTCAAATCTCTAATGACCCTGTCTCCAAATAAGGTCACATTCTGAGGTACTGGAGGTTAGGACTTCCACACAGGAATGCTGGGGAGAGCCAATTCAACTCGTTTGCTTTGGTGGCAGCCCCGTTTCTCAGCTCGGGCCGGGTTTAGGTCACCGCAGACCTGTGAAGTCCCCACGGGTGCAGACGGAGAAGCCAGCTCTGGGTACAGCCGGCCAGACGGCCCTCGGCATGAAAAATCGAGATCAGGCGGGTCCCAGAGTTGCACGATGACCCACGTTTGGGAGCGGGGCCCCTTCATAGCCTGCCACGTGTTTATCGAGTATTGACTGTGGCCCAGGCGCTGTCTGAGCCCTCTGCGCACGTCATCACCCAGGCCCACGACGTGCCAACGAGGCAGACAGCAATCCCCACGCAAAGACTCCTTGCCCAGGGTCCCACTGCTGGGGCAGGGCCGAGCTGAGATCTGCACGCGGGGGCCCTGGTTTCCAGAGCCATCCAGTCCCTGTGCGGATGCATCGCTGCGGGAGGACTACCTTCCACATTGTGTTGGAAGTGGCCTCGGAGGCATCAGAGGAAGCGAGCACCTTGATGCGGGATGTCAGTCCAGCCTCCTAACTCCGGACGAGTGCTCCATTTCCCAGAAAGGCTTTTGTGCCGGCAGATACAGAGCAGGGACGAAGGCCGAGCTGTCATCGTGTGCTGAGCACTTGAAATGTCACAAGTCCGAATCGAGTGTGCTCTCAGTGGCAAATACAGACTGGATTTCGAAGGCCCAAGTGCCCAAAAAATATAAGACACTTCAGTAACAATTTTTATGTTGATTACAATTGGAGATGGTAATGTTTTGAATATATTAGGTTAACTAAAATATCTCATTAAAATTAATTCCAGCAGTTTCTTTTTACATTTTTAATGCGGATACTAGCAAATGTAATATTACCTATGCGTTCTATTTCCACTGGATCGCTCTGTGCCAAGCTTAGAGTCTCCATTTTAACAGGCACCCTAAAAAAATTCTGAAAAAGACAATTAGAGGACTGTGCCCACGGAAACCTTTTGCACCAGAATATCCCACGTTGGCATACGGTTTCCTATAAAGCACTTCGCACACTCAAACTTCCAGGCATGAGACTCCGATTCCAAAGGCCTTCGGATGCTTTGACGCTTATGCATCAAATAAAACGGAGAAAACCACAACACAGAAGCAAGTGAGTTTTATTACACCTCCAGAATGTGCCAGCTGCTCTCATCATGAATGCGAGCGGTTCCGCAGCGGAATGACTCTATTCTGGTCTTCTTCCGTGTGATTGGGAGGCTGTTCCCACTCCGCAGCATTTCACCCCAAGCTGCACGCAATTTCCCGCAATCAGGTTTGCTTCTCCAGGGTTTGCTGGGCAGGGACGGAAACAATCCACGCAGGGCTGGGTGTGGACGCCAGGCAGGATTGCACACGACTGCCGTGTCTGGGTGATGCTTGACTCAGCCAAGTCCCGGGCGGGGCCGTCGGTGGCCCCGGGGGACTGCGGGCTGCACAGCATCCTCTGCGGTGGCTACGCTGCTGCCTGGGGCGCTTTGTGCCTGAGCATCGAGGTGCCCTGGGCGGGTGTGAGGCCTCTTAACGGCTGAACTCAATGAATCAAGGCTGGAGATGGTTCTGAGTGGCCCAGGGAAGTGACAATAGACACGAACCAGTGTGCCCCACCGTGGCCAACGGCTCAGCCTCAAGCCCCCATCTCCCATCTGCAAAATGGGGGTGTCAAGGACCACTGGAAGATTCTGAAAGAGTCCTCGTGGAACAGGGGTCTATCAGTTTCCTATGGCTGCCGTAACAAACTACCACACAGTGGGCGGCTTTCAGCAGAAATTCATCCTCTTCTGGAGTTCTGGAGGCTGGAAGTCTAAACGCAAGGTGTGAGCAGAGCTGGGCTCCTCCGAAAGTTCTAGGGAGGATCCTTCCTGCCTTTTCCAGCTCCTGGGGGCTGCGTCCCTCCAATCTCTGTCTCTGTCTTCACCCCACATGATTCTTCATGTCCACCTGTCATAAGGACGCCGGTCACTACATTTAGGGCCCACCCTAATCCGGGATGATCTCATCTAACTTGATCACGTCTGCACAGACCCTGTTCCCAAACGAGGGCTCATTCACAGGTCCCGGGGTTAGGACCTGAATTCATCTCACTGGGGGCCCAGTTCAACCACACGACTGGCTAAGCAGCGGGACCCCAGCCCTCCCACTCTCAGTAACAAAGGGCCTCTTCGTGCCGGGCACAGAGCCAGGGTGAGGGCACAGCCCGGAGAAGACAACCAACGTGGCTTATGACGAACACCTGCTTTCCTGCTGCGAGTCTAGGATTTTGCACGTTACCAGGCAGAGGCTGCCTATGTGACCGGCCTGCAATAAAAACCCTGAACCCTGAGTCTCGAACAGGCTTCCCTGGTACACAACATTTCACGTGGGTTGTCACGACTTGTTGCTGGAGCAATGAAGCGTGTCCTGTGTGACTCCACGGGAAGAGGACTCCGGACGCTCGAGCCTGGTCCCCCCGGACTCAGCCCCCTGTGCCTTTTCCCTCTGCTGATGCTGCTTCGTGTCCTCTCACTGTAATAAATCACGGCTGTGAGCAGGACCCCATGCTGAGTCCTGCGAGTCCTCCTGGTGAGCCTGGAGGTGGCCTTGGGGACCCTGACACGGGCGGCCACTGCAGACTTCCTGGCGGGAGAGGTGGCAGCCTGGACCCGGACAGCGCCCAGCTTGGGGATTTTCTCTGAACAGGCCCAAGTGGAGAGAGCGGCCTCGACCCTGAGCATGGAAGGAAGGAAGCAGTGGGGCGGGTGCTGCAGGGAGAACCCTGCTTACCTGGCGCACAGTGGGGTGCGTTAGAGAAAACCGAAAGGCGGTTTCATCCTGACAGCGTAGGAAGCCACTAAAGAATTTAAGGCTGTAAGGGACAAGATCAGCTCTGGACATAAAAGCTGGCACGCCACAGGCGCTCTGCCCAGGTTAGCTCCCGTCACCCCCAGATGGGACACCTAAGGCCTCGTCACTGCCCCACACGCGGACTGGTAGGGACCGGGCAGAGCCGCCTGGGCAGGAGGGTACAGAGGTGGGGGTAGCGCAGGCCCGGACCAGGGTGCTCCCCTCAGTTCCCAGGGCTGCTGCTACCTCACCACTCAGTCTCACTGCCTTTGCCTCCACATCCGCCAAGACCAATATAATGTGCCTCCCAGATGTGTGGAGAGCGCAGGACCGTACCGCACCAGTGCTCTCTCCCTGGCTGGAAACGTGTGACCAGCACTGCACCGTCAAATTGAGCTAGGCTTCTCCCCTCGCCAACAAACTCAGGGGCCTGCTCCCCTGGCGGTTCTCACCCAGCGCGAGGGGTGCTAGGCCGGCTGGCTCGTGCAACATGCGCCGCGTGATTCTGGGACAGCGGAAGCTGGAGAGCTACAAAGTACATCCCCTGACTCCCTTGCAGCCGGAGACTGGACAGAAATTAGGCTCTGCCCTGTGGTGGTTCCCCTGACCCAGGAACCTTGAAAAGTGAGGGAGACGGGGCTGCCTTCTGGCTACAGCTGACACACATGGTTCCAGAAGCGGCAGGTGTCCCTGCAGCAGTGTGCAAAGCCTACTCACTGAGGCAGTGGCAATAGCTTCCTGGTCCTCAAGTAACTGCCACGGTCGTGTGACCCTGAACTCAACAGTGCCACCAGCAGCAACCCTGGCAGGCCGGTCACGCAGTGTCTGGGGCCACAGGTCTCTCCTGTAGCCCTTCTGATGACTCTGTGAGTGCCCCGTTCTCCACACAGAACCAGAGTAGCTTCTTGCACGGATCCCACAAACCAAAGCGCTGACCTCTGGTCCATGTGGTGCGCCTAGGGGCAGACAAGTTGGCACTGCCCACTTGCACCACATCCTACATGGCGTCTGCTCAGAAGAGAACGGGATTTAAAGTAAATACATAAATAGATGGACAGATAGACAGCGTCTGGGAAATCTGAACTTTGACGAGTCACTTATACATGCAACTATTAAAATAATGTTCATTCATATCCTCACTGCCCGGCCCCCAACACCTTCTCACGTACCTCCCACCGTGGGTGCCGGTTCCACACTTTGAGAACCAATGGAATAAAACAGCACCTTACACGAATGCTGCCCCACACCTACCGTCAAGTCCAAGAACATCCAAGAGCTCTGTCCAAACTTTCCACAACGTCTCCACGAACATATCCACTCCCAACACGAACCTCTCGGTCAGCCTGGTCAAGAACTGCAGAAATAAGAAAACGGTCACACACCACCGAATCAGCCAGCACACCACTGCCCTCTCAGCTAGTCGAGCCGTGACCCGTGAGCTCACGAGTTCATACCTGAACTGGGAAAAGATATCGAGCTGACCACGAATGCCACGCGAGTGGTCCGCTAGCCCAGGGGACCAGCCTGAGCTCGGCACTGGGGGACGGCAGTCTGATAACGCAGCCAAAGTGGGTGAGACACAGCCGTCCCTGACACAGGCCGGGCACCTGTCCACGGGAGCTGGGACTCTGCAAGCCTCCTCCACTCCACCTGCCATTTCTCCTGTTGTCTTTCTGTCCCCTCTTTGTTCAGGGGCTCTCCTCTCCTCTGCCCGGTTTCTCATTTTTAAAGAGTGGGGGTTTCTACCCCCCACCCAGCCCCCTAGAGGTTGGGCCACCCCTGAGGGCAGCTGTGAAGTGTGAGAACATGATTCTCAGACTCAAGCAGGCCAGGGTCTCCCAGGAAGCTGGTAATGACAGAGCCCCGTGCTCCACCCAACTTTAGGACCCTGGGCTCTGAGGCCTTTCTCCAGGTGATTCTGGAGAACCACAGGGCTAGAGAAATATGAGGTGCAGCCTCATTTCATCTGATTTTTTTAAATAAGTGATATTTTATGTATCTAGTACAAAACTCACACTATAGACAGATGTTCAGAGAAGAGTAAGCCTTCCATCTCACTGCCCAGCCACCTGGAGGCACCACCATTACCACTCACCTGTGTGTCCTTCCTTAGGTACGCCAGGTCAACAGTGGCATGGATTTTTTTCCCCACAAATGGCAGCGTATGTGTACAGTTATACGGTTTTCCTCATGCAACACTCTATCTTGGCAATCATTCAAACTCAAACCATACAGTGGTGCAAAATTCTTTTTAAAAGACGGTATGCCTGCAGCCAATCCCCTACTGATGGACACCTAGGTTGCTTCCAACCTCTGCTATCAGAGACGGTGCTGCAGCACACCGAGTACACGTGCCATGTGGCTCACGTGTGGAGGATAAATGTCTCAAGGTAAATTGGCTATAGCGTTTTAAACTGGATGTCCTAGCTGGATGCTCCTCCAGGACAGATGAGACGAGAAGAGCAGGGTTGAGTCAGCGACCAGGAGAGCAGAGGACGCCGATAACCTCTGAGCTAGCACCGTGGCTAGGAAAGCACAAGCCACATGGCTGATCACCGGGGTCCAAATCCCAGCTCTGCCTCTTACTAGCCAGGTGGCCATGGGCATATTATACATATTTGTAAGCTGTCTGGGGCTTCCGGGCTTTAGCTAACAAATGGGATAACAGTACCTACATCACCTGTGGCTATGAGGAGCACAACCTGGGATATTCATGTGACATGCTTTGAGCACATGGTAAACGTTCAAAACTCCTATCCATGTCCAATATTCTAACAGAATCGTTGACCCCAACACATCCTACGATGACGTCGACCTTTTAGCTTTAAGAATTGCACAGGTGCAAGCACTCAAGCTCAAGGAATCTGCACATCCAAACACCATGCAGACAACTGATGAATGGATAACAAAATGTGGCCTGTTTTGACAGTGGGACATTATTTGGCATAAAAAGGAAGCACTGATTCACGCAACACGGATGAAGCTTGAACACATCACGCTGAGTGAAAGAAGCCAGACACTGAAGACCACGTACTGATGAAATGTCCAGGACAGCAAATCCTCAGAGACGGAATTAGGGGTTGCCGGGGGCTGGGAGGTAAGGGGAGTGATAGCTAGAGGCCACAGGATTTCTTTCCTGAGACGAAAATGTCCTAAAATTGTGGTGATGCTTACACATATCTGCGAATACGCTAAAAACAATGGAACCGCCTACTTTAAATGGGTGAATTATTAATATATCTCAATGAAGCTATTATCTAAAAAAAGAAAGGGTTTACATTTTTGTAAAAAAACAAAAACCAAAAACAGACCACGTGGAGAATGCAGAAGGAAGCACATGCGTCAGAGAGAAGGGGGGGGTGACTGCCCCTCTCTTTGGTGGGGGCAGGTGGGCCGGGGGAGAAGGAGACAGCGTGAATCAGAACCACGCCCGTGAGGAGAGGGCTTCTGGACATGCTACCCTGGGGCACCTGTCCCGCGTCAGTGGTTCTCAGAGTGTGCTCTCTGGACCAGCTGGAGCTTGTGAGAAATGCAGATTCCTGGGCCCCACCCCGGAGCCACTGCATCAGATGCTCCGGGGCTGCGTACAAAAGTGTACGATTCGGCGGTTTTACAGTATTCACAGGTGTGCCATCATCACCACAATCAAATTCTGGAACATTTTCATTGCCCCAAAAGGAACCTTGCACCCATGAGTAGCCACTCACGTTCCCTCCTCCCGTCTTTGGGCCCCCACTAATCTGCTTTCCGTCTCTGTGGCTTTGCCCATTCTGGATGTTTCCTGTAAAAGGAACCCCACGATACGTGACCTTTCGTGTCTGGCGCTTTTCACCCCAAATAACGTTTTCAAGGTCCATCCGTGTCCCAGCACCAATCAGCACTTCCTTCCTTTTTATGCCAAACAGCATTCCATTTTATGGATATACCACACTTTGTCCATCCTGTTATAATTCTTTAAGTATGTGTCACTTGTACGTGTTTGTCAACGTGTAGCGACATTTATAGTTGGTTCAAAGGCAGGAAAAAAGAAAGGCTTTGTGAGAAAAGGATAACAGCACTTTAAATGGCACCAGCTGCCCTAGAAAGCATGTGGGGAAGCAGTTATTTTGGGAGGAAGAGACGTTACTGCCCGTGCTGTTGAACCTCTGTTTTCTCAGCTGCAAAATGGGACTAAGAGAGGATTCAGCGTTAGAGCCTGCGAAGACCTCGGCACAGCCGCCAGCACACAGCGGGTGCCGGATGCCGCTCAGGTTGTCAGATCCACGAGGGGCACGGTGGAACCCCCTGGAACCCCCAGCAAAGACAGCGGCCAGGCCCTCTGGGCAAACCCAGCAGTCACCTCCCACGGGACACAAGTCTACAAGCAGGCGCTCCGAAACCTGCCGTACCTGAGAAACCGGCGCACTCAAGCGGCTCCTGGCATTGCCGGGAAGACAGGTCCAGGCCAGAGGTTCTTTTTCAGGGTGCAAAGGATAGCCCCGCCCCGCCATCCAGCTGGAGAACTCTCGCTGTTCCCCGTGGGGCTGGCCCTGCTTGCTCTGGCCACTGTTCTGGCTGTGTGACACCCTGACCCACCTTGTGTGGATGGAGACATGGGCCCTAAGAACCATATGGGCTGGACTGTGCCCCCCCAAATTCTTACATTCAAGCCCAAGCCCCCAGCACCTCAGAACATCACTGTATTTGGGGACATGGTCTTTACAGAAGTGATTAAGTTAAAAGGAGGTCATAATTTTTCTGCAAATCTAGAACTGTTCTGGAAAAAAAAAGTTTATTTTTGAAAAAAGAGACTTAAAAGCCATATCAATTCAATGTAATGTGCAGACTTTGTTCAGATCACAATTCAGACAAAGCGATTTTGTAAAGAGTCAGGAAAATCAGCGAATGGACTCGGGTTAGATATCAAGGAATTGCTAAGAGCTGTGCCAATGGCGGTGTGCTTTTGATGTTTATAAAGTTCGTATTTGTTAAAGATGCAGAATGAAATATTCAAGGGTGAATTAATATGTCTTGGATTAGCTTGAAAACACCATACGGGCTAAAAAAATGTTAATGAGGGACAGAAGTAACCAGAATGGCAGAAAATCGACACATGGAAGACCTGGGGAGGAATACAGGGGTTCGCTCTACTCTTCTCCCTACTTTTGTGTATGCTGGGCCGTTTTCAGAATAGAAAGTTACAA